GGCAGCCTGTTTTTCCTGATACCAACCGACTGAGGCGTTCAGACACAAGATACCGATAATGACACCAAAGTCAATCCAGTCATCCAGACCTGCCGCAAGAAGGACGGCCAACTCCATGACTGTGAAGATGCAGGATTAGAATTTTTGTACTCTGAGTCATGACGAATCGAAGTTACAAGTCATACCATAGAGAATTGGACCTCTGAAATAGGACAGGATTTTGGCGATCGGGTTTTCCTTCTCAGATGTGAGTTCGTTCCATCCCGAGGAGCGACGTCTGACAGGAACTTCCGAGCTGGGCAGGCCTTGACGAATGTCTGTAATGAGCCATTCCGGCGGGAATTTGCCCGGTTCTTTATCTACTTGCTTGACTTTGACCTTGCGCTTCTTCCAAGGAGCGTACCACACTCGCTTCACTTGTTCTTCCTCGACACCCTCTTCCCCGCCAGGCTCGCGGTAGGTCGAGACATACTTTACAAGCTTGCCATACTCGTCAAGGTTCGCCCAATCCTCTTTGTAAGACACACGGGAGATACGTCTTGAAGACTGTTGAGAGATACGGGATGGACCGCGTTCGACATCACCTTGACCTTGACCTTGGCTTTGACCTTGAGAGGGAGCTTGCTCAGCCATCTTTGCTCCTTGGCAACCTGCCTAGTGCCTAGTGAGTCAGAAAAAGGAGTCCTGCAACCGACGTCCCTGAGTTTCGAGGGATTCCCGTGCCAGTTTCCCCGTCGGCTTATAGGAAGTAGAGAACGAAATTCAGTCCCGAAAAAGATGCAGCAATGCAAGGCTTTGGAGAAAAGAGCGGTGGATGATGGGCTATGTTAGTGAGAGAACTCCCCTCCGCGCCCAAGCAAGATGTAAGGATAATGGCCAATTTTCCTGAAAGGCCGGGATCTGGAGCAGGTCATTACCCTGGCCAGCAAACAGCTTTCAGAAGGCCGCAAATGTTGACGTAGTATAGACTGGCTTGGGGCGGAACGAAGCGCAGGCTAATCAGGACCTTTGCGCGCTGCTGTATCCTCAACCCCAGTCAGAGACTACGGGTAACCTAGGGGTCTTGACTGGTGATTCGGCAATTGCTGATGGTCTTGACGTATGAGACAGCACCATGGCATATCCCGCTGAAGTTTCCAGACTACGTCTAGGTAGTCCCCAAGCAGGTAACGTATTCCATACGTCCCGGTCATTTTTCTGGTTAGGATCAGGAATACCATGAGAGTCTACTGACTCAGAGAAAGCAGCGAAAACAGCATTACACTGCTGTGACCTCTCAACTTTGAGCTATGGGATACCATCGGCATAGGCCCCACGGGAACCACGGAAGCTTGACAGGAGACGATGGACATAGCGGATAAGAGACGAATCGGGATGAAGCTATGGGCGAAGCTTGTTCCTTCTTTTCTTGCTACGGCAGGTCTGTTCAAGACGCTCATAGGCTCAGCAAGAGGTGTGTGGGGACGGTGTCGATAGGGTTGTGGAGTAGGAGAAGCTGGCCTGTCGTGATCAGTGAGACGTACCCAAGGGGTAAGAGATGCAATTTCTCGAGTACCGGACAGCCCGTTGCAATGCCAATTTAGCGCTCCCGAAAGATCCGGGCTGTTGTATGTAACCTAACATAGTTCGGTTTTATGGGGCCCTTTAGGCTTTCTGAACTCAAATTACGATATCTCTGTATGACCCTGACATGGTCTAGACGTAATCTTCTCATTATCCTGCGCGGTCTCCCGTCACAGAAATCAACCCAGATCCGGCGTAGAACTGTAAGGAAGGACTGGCTCCGTTAGCTTGTGAGCGTAGATAACATCCCGAACTAGTAGAGGCGCACAGTGGACGAACTTTCTATAAAGAGATGAAGAAGATCCAAAGCGAATAAAGCGAAGGGGAGAGAAAAAGAAGATCAAGTAGATGATGGCCACGGGCCAACTGGTAAGCATGGAACAACGCTGTCGGTCTCGCCGGATGGCTCGTGTCCGCCCAAGAGGTAAGGTAGTATTGTCTTCGACGTCATGAAGAACATCTTTGGCGTTTCGTGAAATCATCTCTCAATGCAGCTGGGAGAAACTTAATGTAAATTCTATCACCCCTCGTAGTATGTGGTGAACAAGATGATCAATCGATGAAGTGGAGCGATGGAGATTCTGTAGAATATGCACGGACTACGGACGGCAACTAGTATGGCGTATAGATAGCGCCCACCTTAAAAGAACCATATGCTTTCTTCAAGTGTTCGTCTGTTTAGGGAGCATAAAGATATCATTGCTGCAAAGAAGAAAGGAATAACTATAAGTATTTACCTTTTTGCAACTAATAATACTTAGACCTGTCGTAAGGCAACGATTTAGCATCTTGACAATATGAATTCAATTCTTTCTCTGTCCTTCTAATATCTACATCGTCGTAGACACATGCGTGGCTTCGTAAGTCCCAAATATCCAACTATTCGTCTATTTGCCCGTCTTGCCAGTGGGAATGTTGAACAAAACGGCCGGCTTGCCTGGTGCATAGGCCCGGTCAACACGGTAGTAGCCCTTGCGCTCAAACTGGATGATATCACCTTCCTTCAGTTCAGCGACGTTGCAGTCAGCAACAGCGTCCTCTCTGAACTCGGTATTCTTGTTCAGGACATCCTCGAGGACGTCGTCCTCCTGCAAGGTGTCCTTGTTAAGAAGGTAGTCGAAATCGACCAATTCGACGGGAATTAGGTTCTGTCCCTCAGTAGACAGCCATGTGACCTTCTTCTCGGTCTTTTTGAAGTCACCTTCCAGGTGGAGCTCCAGCTCCAGCTCCTTAACGATGCCTGAAGTAGGATCGGTCTCGATCTTACGGACAATGGCATTGCCCCAGCTCATCAAGGTGATCTCTTCATCTTGCTTGAAGCTCTTGGCATCTTCCTGGTCGAAAATGACCGTGTTGCCAAAAGCCACCTTCTTCATGCCAACTGCAGGGTTCTTGCCGTGCTTAGGTTTCTCTTCCGTGTAAGGTGTAGCCGGGCCTCCCGTGACGATCGCCTTGACCATATCCTTCTTGAGAATGGCAGTGTGACGAGGTGCGACAGGGTCAATGTACTTCTTGTTGGTTGCCCAGATCAGGGTCCAGTCAAGGTTGGTGATGTTCTTGCTGGGTCCCTGCTTAAGAATGAATTCTCTCAGAGCAGGGATGGTCATTCCTCTTCGTCGGATGCCCTATAAAATGGTTAGCCTGGAAAGTTAACAGTACATGGGAAATAGGTGACACAATAAACAATGACGTATCAGAAAAGGGGATTTGCAGGCATGATTAGGCCTATTACTTACTCGGATGGTGGGGAAACGAGGACTGACATCGTTAGTAAGACGAGAATCACTTGAAGTAAAGGTAGACTTACTCATCCCATCCCCAGACGATGCCTTGGTTAACGAGCTTGGTAAGCTTTCTCTTAGACAGCAAGGTGCGAATGAAGTTCATCCGAGCGAAATCCCAGATTTGGACATGGCGAAGCTTGAGCGTGTCCAAGAACCACTGGTATTGAGGGTTGCGATCGCGGTACTCAATAGTTCTGAGGGCATGGGTCACACCCTCGATTGAGTCGACAATAGGGCAGGCGAAGTCGTAGGTAGGGTAGATCTTCCATTTCGTTCCAGTGCGGTGGTGAGGAGCAGGGTTGCAGCGGTAGATGACAGGATCACGCATGGCCTTGTTGGGGTTATCAACAGACATCTTGGCTCGGATACACCAACGGAGACCCTCAGGGGTACCCTTCTTCATCTCCTCGAAACGGGCAAGGTTCTCCTCGACGGATGCATCACGACGCTTGCTGGGCTTTCCATTCATTCTCTGCTCAGCCATGACCTCCTTCTCGGTATCGTCAGCGTAGGCGTTGCCGTCCTTGATGATTTGAAGAGCGTACTGGTAAAGCTCGTCAAAGTAGTCGCTGGTGTAGCTCATCTTGTCAGGCTTGATGCCCATGAGAGCAAGATCTTCAATAATCGCATCCTGGAACTCGAGCTTCTCGTTTGAAGGGTTCGTGTCGTCGAAGCGGACAAGAAGGGTGCCATTATACTTCTCGTGCGCAAAGTAGTCATTGAGCAGTGCAGCTTTTGCGTGACCGATGTGAAGATAACCTGAAGGCTCGGGAGGAAATCTTGTCACCACTCCCTTCTCAGTGTTGAGAAGAGCGATGTCGTAGCTGGCTCCCTCCTTCGCCTTGGCGGCCTTCTTCTCTCTCGCAGCCTGGTTCAAGGCCTCAAGTGCAGATGTGGCCCATGGGCAAAGATCCTCCAAGAAATAGAACCAACGAGTCACATTGACAAGTGAGCCCTTCTTGATCGCGGAAACTGCGACACGGTTGCCTCGGATGGCACCCCAAAGGGCAATGTCGGCCGTGGAGAGAGAGTAACCGACGACGAAGGATCTCAGCAAGAGGTGGGTATCGAGGCGCTGCAATTCAGGGTCAAGGGCTTTGAAATCGAGAGGAGCAAATGCTTCTAACTGAGACAGCCACTCGTTCTCCTAGAAAATGTGTGTTAGCATCTCCTATCAGTGCTCATCAACGGTAAAGTTCTATGGCGGCTCTTACCAGCTTCTCATCCTTGCTGTTAAGGAAGGGAAAGTCTTTGCGGAGTTCTTGAATAGCGTTGATAAGGCCAAAGACAGGATTACCGCTAGCTCCAGTGTATTGCACGACGGCCTTATCTCCTTCACGAAGAACCGCAGTATCCTCATAGGCGATCGATATCACTGGGCTTGGTCGTGCCTCATTGATAGAAGTTGCGACCAGCAGGACAGGAAGGACATAGGGCTGATTGGCCCTGGTGGCCAGAGTAAGCTGATACTGAGACATTGCGGCCCTCAAAATCGCTTCAAGTGAAATCGACCTGCGAGAGCGTAACAAGTGGGCTGTTGAATCTCCCCAAAAATTGAGTAGTATGGAGGGGCATTTGACTCAAAAGGGACTCCGCCGGCGTCACATTTCTCCGCCCGCATCGCCGAGAGAGAGCTTTCGGAGAAGAAAACATCTCCGTCTCCCAGGAGTTTGAAGAAGGCTCGCATCAATCACCTCTCCAAACTATGTCTTCCTTCGGCTCGATCTTGCCGTCGGCGGCAAGAGGCATTCTCTCAACATGTCAATTGCCTCTTCGTCAAAGAACAATGGCGCCTTTGCTCTCGAGCTTTCACCAACAGGTCCGAGGAGCTAAGAGCAATCCTCAGGCCCATAATAAGAAGGCCAAGGCGAAGACCAAGAAGGAAAAGAAGGGTCCTCGGGAGTTCAAGCAGAAAGATCTTAAGGATGTTGAGAAATTCGCGCTCTGCGATGCCATAAGGTAGATATTGTCTGGGCTGAGGCACTTCACTCGCATATCTCGCTAATCTCTGGCTATTCTACTGCAGATATCTCCGTGCTTTCGAAGTTGGTCGCGAACCGACTGTCTCCAAATACGAAATCCATATTCGTCTGAAAACAAAACGTGACGGGCCGGTCATCCGTAACATGCTCCGATTTCCTCACTCCGTCCAGACCGAATCGCGAATCTGTGTCGTGTGCCCTCCTGGAACAAGACATGAGAAGGAAGCCCGCGCAGCTGGAGCTGTTCTGGTAGGTGAACAGGACGTATTCGATGCTGTCAAGGCAGGCAAGATTGAATTCGATCGCCTCATCTGTCACCCCGACAGTTTGGACGCCTTGAACAAAGCCGGGTTGGGCCGGATTCTTGGTCCCAGAGGCTTGATGCCAAGCATCAAAACCGGTACTGTGGTTGAAGATGTGGCCGCTAGAGTTGAGATGCTCCGTGGTGGTACCATATACAGAGAGCGTGATGCCGTTATTCGACTACCGATTGGGCAATTGGCCTTCTCCCCCGAACAATTGCGAGACAACCTGCGCACGACGATTGAACAGGTGAAGAAGGACGCGGCCAGCCTCAACGATCGTATCGTGAAGGAGATCTACGAAGTTGTAAGTTGACATTTATAATTCGCGATTATGAGGTTCGTGCTAACCAGCACTAGGTTCTGAGCTCGACGAACGGCCCTGGCTTCAGTCTGAATGGAGAGTTCAAGTCCGACAATTCCCCAGACAGCGCTTCTTTGACCGGCTTGTAACATATGTGATTTCTTTGGTCCATTTTCTTGGGTGTATATTGTACAGATCATGTTATTCTTTGGGAACAGCACGGTGCATAATGGTGTTTTCTGAGAACATATATTTCTAGAAGCTCAAGCCTGATCCTGAACGCCTCTGCTATGCAAAATGAAGCTCGCGCAATGCACAAGGGTGAAGCTTACATCTTCAGGTTCTTCAATGCGGTTACTGCACTGGTATCCTCGCCCATTAGTTTGTAGAGTCGCAATACGGCCATCGTTTTCGTATCCCGCTTCGCCCCAGCATGACTGCCTTGCTCAAGTGCTGTCTTCAGGTCCACGAGCACCGTGGCCCTGATCTTCGCTAATCGCGGTCGTTGGTTAAGTATGAATGGATGATCATTGCCAATCCGCGAAGCTAGTCGGGTGAGGTAGACGTATTTCTGTATGTGATTTTCCAGTCTTCGTAGAGATACCAGCGGCGCTCCAGATGAGCCGGTGGGCAGGTCTACTTCGTCACTTTCCTCACTCTCGCTGTCCAGCAGGTCCGAGTCCGTGTCGAATCCCTCGGCCGATTCGCGTAGGTGCTGAGTCGGTGCATCGCCAATCATCAATCGTTTCTCCAGATCCTCAACGCGCTCTGCGAAGTCTAACAGAGCCCGAGCGATGTTTGCATGCCCGGTCAGCCTCCTCTTTTCGTTCAAGAGCCTTTCCATGTCGCTTTGCCTCGCTTCCACCTTGTCCCGTATAGCTTGAACCTCCCGCTGAAATGACAACAGCCCAACCCGAACCTGCTCGACCTTCTCTTCGCCCCCCTGCAATGCACTGCCAAGAGATAAAAAATCGCCATAGTTCTCATTGACTAGATCTAGCAACTCCCGACTGAGCGCTTGGTCTAGATTCCGCAGTTCTTGTCGGAGGTCTTCGAGGCTTTGGTGCCGATTGGTCAAGGACGAGAGGTAGTCTGCGGGGTTAAAGTCGGGGGCAAGGAAAGATGATCGAGTGAGAGGCTCAGGGAACGGCAGGTCGGAGGTATCATCATCAAGATCTGAGGCCGACTCCTCGGAGTCGCCAAACTATAAGCATGAACTGTCAGTGTCGTGGAGGGGGGAGCCAATGGGGTATATACACGGAGTGTCTGCATACACGAAACCTGTTCATTTGGATTGAGAGGAACTCTTGAGCAGATTAATAATGATTGAATGTGCAAACAGGGATAAAAGAGTAATGACTGGAAACATAGCCGGTTGGCTCGTCAAGGACTCAAGCCATGATGTTTGTGAGTTGGTGGTAGTAGCAACAACGACCCGTCCGCAATAAATGGCCCCACGGGTGGTTTGTTCCGTCCGCTAGGTAGATGGATAAGTGATAACACAATGGAAGTAATTGCTGTCGTTGTCGCATGCCAACGCATTGTCTTACTACATTGATATTTCGAATCCCACTAATTGGAGCAAAGTAGCATCCGAAGGAGCTACCATTACCTGGGAATTTTCTCACACTAGAGTCTACCGAGTCTCTCGGATGCATGCCAACATGGCACTCTTTCTCATGTGCCAGTTCAGGTTTGATCGTCTGGGCAAGAACCTCGAGCGTAGATACGTGTCCTGCCTTGTACATGCTGTGATTTGACAGCTGCTTGACTCCCTGTTACTATCAGAGGATCAGCCGCAGCTGCGAATCAGCATGAGGGCGGGGCTTTTCTGGTGGTCGTATTCCCTCCGCGTCTTCCTGCAGCACAGTTGCGACGAATACATTTGGATAGAAACGTGCTTGACTGATGGGATTATTTTGACAACAAACCAGAAATCGAAACTTTCTTGATATTTTTTGTGGACCCTGTTTTGTTGATAATGGATTATAGGTCAGACAGGCTGTCATCCCACCATGATGGAGTCCGACTATCATCCTCACTCTCTGGCCAAAGATGGTCACAGCTCACACTGTCTCACTCCTGTCCGGTGGTCGAGACTGTCGGTCCATCTCATCAAGCAAGCTCCTGCCGTTATGGCCTTGCTCTAGATGATTCTGCACGGGCATACCGCACCACTGCCTTACGTCAAGTCAATGGCAATCACAGACCTCTGTCCTCGATCAATCGCCAGGCCAATCATTCTGGCAACCGGTCCTCGACGTTAGCGTCTCAGCCGGTACTGGTTCGGGCATATTCTGGAAGTACAGATGACACTGGAGGAACATCCAATATGCCTTCACGGCGGTCATTTCCATTTTCAGTTCGGTCTGGAACGCCAAAGCGTGGCCCAAGCCTTCCCTCGGAAGAGGACTTTAGTATCGATAGCATTCTGCGCGCCATCGAGCCTGAAATTCGGAATACTTTGGACACGATTGGCGAAATATGCGGCCGTAGCAAACTCAGTTTGGCCAACGAGTATGGGAGTCATATTGCACCCTTGGGAGAGATTCGGGCTCCCCCTGGCGGTCTCTTGACTGTCGAGGAAGCCAGCTCGGACCACGAAAGACAGCCTGATGATGCTGTGATAATCTTTGACGATGACAGTAACAGTGTCATGGGTGTGCGAGATTACACCACTGTGCCTCAATATCGTTACTTAGAACAGACCGGACCATCTACAATCACACCTTCTACAATGGTGTATCACTCGTTCGTGCCGTTCTCCGTTGCAGAGGGCTTGTCTGTCCTCGCGCACCCTGCCAACCTCGATGAGAACACCTCAGACCCCGTTGCAGATACATTGCCTGCGACTAGGGAATTCATGTCGAAGCCGAACTCAAACGGTCGGACATTGCTCGGAAAGCAGAACGATCGCATCACAGAGGACCAGCTTAAGAGTATCCTGACACCTGCGCTTGTGGCAGAGATCCTCCTCGAGGCACAAGCCAACGGCAGCCATTCATTGCACACCTTTCCTTCTGACTCTCGCCAAGGTCAGCTGTCCGGAGGGGATAACGGTGATACCACAGCAAGGGATCGTGGACAGTCAGATAAACCGTCTGTACTAACAGATGTGCAAGCGCTGTTCAACTGGCTCAGGAATGCTTCTCAAGACGGACAACCTCGATCTGCTGAAAAGCTGCTGCGTGCCATGCTTGAAAGACAAAATGAACAGCATCCGTCAAGGAACACCGACTAAGACATTGACGATTCATGACATTGATTCCGTACCGTTATTCCTTTCTATTTAATGTTCAATCCATTGAATTAACTTAACTTCTGTCTCTTAATTCTCCTGTGGCCTGATCTGTGGAAGTCAAAAACCAGAAACTTTCATTTCTGTGCCATCTATCCTAGCGCAGTCGTTGAGAGGTCCACCGAACAATGTGAAAGCCATCGGATGACGGTCTCATTTAATATATGCTTCGAGACGATACGGACTTGGCTGGTAATGCACTTGATTGCGTCACAATAGTGGTATATGAAAGAAGACAAACGAGGCTAGTGATGAAGAGTGATGAAGAGTATTATTCAATCCAAGGCATTAGAGAATATCAACTCGCCGCGCTTTCCCCCTCAATGTGAGATAATAATGTCTTCGCAAATTCCTCAAATCGAGTGTATGACCAGCAGTCCTTATACCGCTCAACAAGCGGCCTGTTATCGACAGGCTCCTCTGGCTGTTGAGCCTGTGTAGGCCCATCTTCCTCATCCGAGTCGCTATCCACAACCATCTTCCCTTCAACCAGTTCGCCGAACTTGACATCCACAGGCACAGTACCTAGAAATCTGATCCCCAGTTCCTCCGCCATGACCTTACCTCCACCACTGGAGAATAGATTGCTCACTTCCCCACAGCAAGGACATGTGTAACCGGACATGTTCTCAATCACACCCAGCGCGGGGATCTGCGTCTTCACGCAGAAATTGACCTCCTTGCGCACATCAGATGTCGCAACGGCCTGGGGAGTCGTCACAAGCACCGCACCCGCCAAACGGGGGCGGCCCATAGATGCCGCAGCCGGGTCCGTCGAAGCCAGCGTCAACAGCTGCTCCGCCAACGCTATATGCTCATCGCTCGTGCCGGGCGGGGTATCCACGAGCAGATAATCCGTGGGACCCCAGGAAACGTCCGATAGAAACTGGCGGATCATAGCGGTTTTCTTGGGGCCACGCCATATCACCGCGTCTCCTCGATCGCGTAGCAGAAATCCCAGAGACATGCACCGCAATGCGCCTCGTGGTGGTGCGCCATCTTGTGCTGCGTTCTCCGGCGGGTGTACCGATACGGGGAGCCAACCGCGCGGGGTCTGTGTGATCTTTGCGTCTTCGAGTCCGACTAGGCGCGGGATGGATGGGCCTGTTAGATCGATGTCGAGGATACCGACGGATTTGCCCTGAAGAGAGAGCGCGAGGGCGAGTTGTAGGGTGACGGAAGATTTGCCGACACCACCTTTGCCGGAGAGGACCTTTACATATTCGCCGAGTGTCAGTGACAATTCTCAGAGAAGTCGCTCAAAGCAGAAACAATTCAGATTCAGTCAAAACAGCTTGTATTGCCCCAGTATGGCTCATGAATTCTCCTACAGCTCATCCCTCATTGACGTGGAATCGTTATCGATAAGATGCCATGAGGGGTTTGTGCTGGACAGGGGAAAAAATGACATGGGAAGACGCTACTTACCAGCACAATGTTCTTGACTCCATCGAGAGGCATTTCTCACTAGCTATCTGGCAATTTTGAAGTTGCAAGACCTCAATTTCCACTCAGAGACAAGAGGAAAAGGTGATGGCAAAACGGCCGATTTCGCAGTTCATTTACTTTTTCTGCGTCATCCCGCCATGTGGGGAAGACTGCTTATCAATCCGAAGATTCGTTTTATAACTATTTACCTCTTACGAGAGGTATGTCGTCAATAGATAAGATATCCTCGACTCGACTACAAGCTGCAATAGATAGGAAAAAGTTATTAGTTCTAAAGTCCTCGTGCGCAGGATCGTTCGTGATATGCGAGTCGTCCTTGACCGGAATTGTCTACCTATTTACTCGTCCATATCTGGATCACATAAATCGTGTCATAGGCTCAAATTTTGTCAAGAGATCATAATATGATTCCCTGCAAGAGAAGTGCCTCTTTTCTATGGGTTCAAGCTGGGCAACAGAACTTCCAGGAGCCATAACTTCCACAACAGTAGCTTACTGCCACTTCTGCACAACCACACCACCTCGCTTGAACTCAGGTAGATCACCAAGGACAGCAGATTTGTCGGTAAGGTCCTTGTTCGGGAATGTGGTCATCAACACCCAGGGACGACTCTGGCTGGATGGGCTGGCAGCGGAAACGAACTGGTAGACGTCGCCAATGGTATGCGAGGTATTGAATCGAGATGTTAGACGAGATCCATCACCAAGTCGGATTTGTAGGGTCACGATCGGCTGCGACTCATCCACGTCAGGCTTGACTGACTCTGCGCTTGGCTGACTAGGGGCGGGAGCCTCAGAAGGGGCTTGGCTTCTGATGGCCGGAGTCGGGCTGCCAAGTCGTTGCCCTGTTCCTGAGAAAGGCTTGTATTTTGGCTTTGGCTTGACATATTTTTCCTCATGCTGCTTGATCTCGACGTCGACTTCTTGACCTGGTTGTACATTCATGATCGATAGCGGGGCGCGGCCCTGTCGGATGCCGTCAAGAATTTCCGCATTTCGCGGGTCATCTGAACGGAAGAGATCACCATCGTCGACAGAGAATCCATCCGCCCAGAAGTGAAGCGTTCTTTGTACTCGCTGGGGTCTCTGTAGTGTAGGCGCACTCGGGCTTTCGATGACCCGGCTGGGGGCGTCGTCACCGCCAAGGGTGCGTGCAGTACCGGTAAAATAGGATGGTCTCGTTTTGGGTTCATCAGAAGACGGCAGCTGAGTCCTATACGTACTCGTCAGGTATCCTGTCACAATTTGATGCATAATCGTCAGGTAAGACCAAGACTCACTTTCTGGCTTTCTCGATGATCTTTCTTTTGAGGTCATCTGGATTCTGCACAGCCAGTCCTGACTTCTCACCACCAGCAAAGAAATCTTGATTCTCTGTGTCATCTTCATCGGACGAATCGCCGCCTCCAGATGCAAAATCCCCGAGCGTTGCGAATCTCTTCTTAGAGGTGGGTTTGCGCGACGAAGAGGAAGATTGCTGCGGTGTAGCAGTTCCGGACTGGGAAGAGCTGCCGCCTAGTGACCGACCTGCTGATGCAGCTGAATCTGCACCTCCAAGAGACCGACCACCAACTGTGTTTGCACCTTGCATGGCTTCGTCTTGTTCCGCGAAGAATTCTGTCACCGCTGCCTCGATATCCCACCCATTGGCTGCCAGGTACTCTTGTGCCTTTGGATATAGGTGTCAGCGAAAAATACTTCAGAAAACAGCACGGAATCAGCTTGAAGAATTACCTCTGCAGGACGTGTGCCTGTCATTGCACAGAACTGAGAAACCACCTCATCGTTCTCGGCGGGGTTACGCTCCATCTTGGAAGGATTATGGGTTGACAGCTCGGTTCAGCTATCGAGCGCTGAGTTTGGGGTAAAGAAAGATGTAACCTCTGAAGAGCACCAAACTGAGATATTGAAAGCAAAGTGAGATGAATATATGTGACCGGGGAAAAAGGAAATAGTGAATGCCAAACTATCACTGGACCTCCGATTTCACTAGGGACAAACACCGCGCTGATGAGGATACGTCACTGTTGCCTGATTGGTCATCCGGACGAAGAGATCTCCCGGTGTACGCAGTAGATGTTGATGCCTCAGGTGCTTGATTACTTACAATCTGCGACTTGCACTAACGAGCTATCGAATCTGGAACTTAGATATTAGTATAATTTGCGGCTTCTGTATCTTGCGTGTACTTGTGCCTGGTAGCTTCGTCCGTAAATCGAGATATGGTCCCTTCATGAAGCTCCGCCTATTGGCAGGGAATACTACTATGGTTATTTGTACTATCAACAAAAACAAGAGGTTGTCGGCCGTCAGCAAAGTACCCTAAACTTATGAAACTGCATCTAGTGCAAACATCTTAGACAGTAAATAAGTCCTTGTTATCAGGATTTAATTTGAGCTAGAAATATGGGAAGAGAGAGTCCTCCGTCGCTGGCTTTTGACCGACATTAATATTGCGTAACTATTCTTGCTTACATAACCCTTTGGAGTCAGGTGTAGGCGATGCAGCTTCCTTGATTGTCTGGCTGCGACAACTACACCATCTCGCCCATCCGGTTTTTCATGCAAGGTACAAAGCGATATTGATCCGGTACTGGAGAATCAAGCTGTGCCAGGTATATCCTCGATAGTCGTCCGATTTCTACCGTCTACGAGCTCCTGTTGCTTCGATTCCTGAACCGGCGTTCTTCTCCCCGCAGCATGGCCGACGAACACTCCCACTCAAGGGTTGAGCTTTACGACTCGGGTCTGACGGTTCCCTCAGACTCGGAAATCTACTCTGCCAATCATGAAGTTTCATCACCTATGTCGGCATCTAGTTCGCCCTTGATTCTGTACAAGCCTCCGTCGATCTGGGGCATCTTGCGGATGGCGGCGATCAATTTGATCCTCCCTTTTGTCAACGGGCTGATGCTGGGATTTGGGGAATTGTTTGCACATGAGGCTGCTTTTCGCCTTGGCTGGTCTAACACAAAGGTACGTTCCATGAAATCGCCTTGAGGGGTACAGTATCTGTCTCCCTGCGATTATCTGCCAATGCACGTTGACTCATCTTCAACGAAACTGGACTGATCATTGTCTCGTCTAGATTTTCCCTACTTATCGACGATCAAGGCCCATGGGACCAGGCATGGAGATTCGCGACCTTCCATCGCGGCGTCAGCCTAGAGCCGGAAGTCTGCAAGATACTACATCATTGGAGTGATTGCGCGCCTTCAGGCACCAAGTATAGATTTCTCTCTGCGCAAATTCTTGATATCCAATGTTCGTGCTCCATTAGTCGTTTGTTCATTTTTCCGTCTTCAGCATGGGTTGCGTATATGTGTACATAGATTCCAAAAGGCACCAGCAGTAGGTCAGATTGGACGGCGTCGGGCGAAGCAATTCGACTTCTGCATATCGAAGACACGGTCCATCTTTTGCTGTGCGTTGCGGGTGTGGAAATATTCATCCAAAATTTAAACGATATTCTACACGGATGATAATCCTCTTCCTCTCTTGTTGCCCAGGTAGTATCGGACGTATTTTGATATCAGGATCAGGAACAAACTCCGGCCGCCCGGCAGAAAGCAAGTCTTGGCGCGAAAAAGTCCAGTCTCCGCGAGTCGGCAGCGGATATAGCCGTTGTTTTTTTCACTCTAAAACGCCGTCGCTCGTGAACCACTGAGTATCTCCTGCGGCCAAATATCACAATGCTGGCAGGGGCTGGTTTGAAGGGGCGTGGTGGGATTCCCACCATTGCTCGACAACATTTGACTGTTTTCCCTCGCTCCAGCCGATCGGTTTGTCCCCCGATATCCTCTTCTCCGCCGGCAAGCAAGTAGACGTTTGGCTGACTTGACTGGGTATACTGCAGATCTCTTCGTTCAGACCACAGAGCTCGGGATTCCCTGTACGCTATGGAGGCCCTACCCAGACACTTTCTGGGAAAATATCATGGAAGCCCGCCGCCTCCATTCCCGGCGTCATGTCCGCAAGATTCAATTCGACATCTTCCGCAACCGATGCCACTGCGAGTGAGCATTTGTCGGACGCTCCTACCGATATGGGTGTACCTGACCTTTCTGATTTGTCTGCCGCTGATCTCAGCTCGATCCCCGAGAACATCGGATACCTCAAAGACCTAGGGCTCGACTACGGCTGGGGCCCGTCCTCAATCATTCAATTTTTCATTGAACATATCCACATGTGGGGAGGCTTGCCCTGGTGGGCAAGTATCGTGGGAACCGGTCTTCTCCTCCGATTAGCACTCCTGTATCCTACGCTGGGCGCTGTGGACACCTCGACCAAAATGCTCAATATCAAGCCCGTCACGGAACCTCTGCGTCAGCAGATGATTATGCGTGGAAAGGATGGCAACCAAATAGAAATGTTGAAATTACGAGCCGAAATCCAGAAGATTCACCAGGAGCAAGGTATCGTGGCATGGAAGTCCTTCATTCCCATGCTTCAGATTCCCTTCGGTTTCGGTTGCTACAGAGTCGTCAAGGGTATGGCAGCCTTGCCAGTGCCCGGGCTGGCCATGGAATCCGTTGCTTGGCTAAAGGATCTTACCGTTGCCGACCCATACTTCATACTCCCCGCTGCGTCGTCTTTGTTCATGTACCTGAGCATCCGGGTAAGTCGACGTTCATCCATCGGGCTACTGGCTTGGTTACTGACTCTGAATGTCTTCGTCCTGTGTAGAAAGGAGGCGAAAATGGCGTGAACCAGCTCCAGGGCACAACATTAGGCAGACTCCTCATGTTTGGGTTGCCTGCCCTCTCCTTTCTCTTCATGGGTTTCTTCCCCAGCGCCCTCCAGCTCTATTTTGTGACGACTGGTCTATTTGGTCTGGGCCAAGCCTACCTTCTCGGCTCTGACACCTTCAGAAAATCGATGAACATCGCCCTCCCTGTAAGGCAGCCTAAAAACGGTCAGTCCCCGGGTCATGATGATTCGCAGCAGAGCAGGTCGATCCGCACGCTTCGTGAGCATCTGGAGGCCGAAAGAGCCAAGATGATTCAGGAAGAGCACAAGTCTCCTGATAGTGTGGAGATTAGTTTTATTGATCGCGCCTTGAACAACCTGAAGGAAGCCAAGGAGAACATCAAGCGTGAAACGACGGAGAAATTGGACGCCGTTCGTGGTCAGGCCCCCGTGAAGAACGCGGATGGGACTGTCGCCGAGCCTCCTCGGCTGGGCGAGAAGGATCTCAAGTTGGCAGCCGACTACGAGAGGAGAAGGAAGGAGGAAGAGGATTGGAAGCGGGAGGAGAGGAATCATGCTCGCCGCGAGGCTCACCTGAAGGCCTTGGAGCTTGAAAGAGAAAAGGCGCGCTCGGCGTTCAAGGTCAAGCAAAGGTGAGCATCGGTGTAAATTCTTCTTTCTTGGTTTTACTGTATCAGGTGTGACGGTCTATTTGCAACTGTACAATATGAAGCGCTTAATCTTCTTGTATTTTCTCCTACGGTAAAGGATCTTTTCCTTAGAATACAGGATCTCTTCATTCGTTATCCTAAAGAGGCTGCTTTGTCAGCAGGTCTGCGTTGCAGTCGACAACAGTGACGAGAGCTTCGGATCCAACATCTAGCAACAAGCAGCATCCTCCATTCTGCAACCACACGAGAGATACCACGAAGGCCAATGCCAATACGCTCACCTGAGCCAGGCTGGAAAGGCTTGTCAAAAAGTGCAAGAGCAGAATGACGCAACCAAGAGACAACTGCTAGTCCTAAGATCATCACCCAAGAAGACAAGACCAACGAGCACGCCTATTCAAGGTTTTCATCTCCAACGGTCTCAGGCTCATGCTCATGCTCATCCGACGAGGCCTCAGTCTGAGCGAGTTCCGAAGCAGCCTCAACCCGAGCAAGTCTCTTCTACGTATTGTCAATCAACGCCAATTTTGCAAAGCTGGGTTCCGGATCCCTACCTCGATGATGAACTTGATCTGCGGGTAGAAGATCTGGTAATCGTGTTCGGCACTCATCTCATAAGGAGTTAGCCCCTGGATCCTGTCAAATTCTGGAAACTGTCGCTGTATACGTACCGGAATCAAAAGGTCTTTGAAGCTATCCAGAGTGAGGAGATCACCCAGCTCTTGGTAGTACCTCACCATTCCGTCTCTGAAGGACTTGAGGCGTTTGGTACCTTCATCGAAAGTCATGGGGTTCTGCATCGCACGCTTTTCAAGTGTGTCTTGAGTTGCGTACAGATGAAAGGCTGACACGATAGTGAAGGTCTAGGCAGTTGAGTCAACGTCTGGTAATGGTAAAGTGAAAGCAAAGCGAGTGGAATTGGCAGAGTCAAGGGTTTGCTCACTTCGTGTAGCAGAGTGAAGTCCTCGGAGCAGTGTGGCCATCCGTCAATGATGAAGGTAGTCGCTCCAAACTCCATGTGTCTCTGGATTTCCATCTTCACGAGACGAAACAGCAATTCGGCCGGCACGGATCCCTGGGTCTCAATGGCCTGCACAACCGCCAGCCAAGCGAGGTATGGACCTGTCTCCCCCAGACGCTCGATCGTCTGATCAGGACAAATGTGAATGAATCCAAGCTCTGCGGCCACGTTTGCTGCGGCAGTGCTCTTTCCCGCAGCTGGGGGGCCTACGGAGATACAATCACATTAGTCGACCTGACTAGGAAGGGATTTCGCTTGAGCCTACGCTTTGGTATGGAAACTTACCGAACAGAAGAATGAGCCTTGCACTCTTGACGTCCACGTTGTCACTCGGATCGGCGTCGTTTGGGACCTCAACCGGGATGAGAATGCCTCCTCGGCGATAGGTTCCATCATCGTACGTCCAAGTGTCTCCCTTTTTCGAGTCCAGCTCAGGCATAGGACGTTCCACGCGCTGGACATGGGTTTTTTTGGTCAACGAAGTGCCATTCTCTTCACTCTGGCTCTGGGCAGGTTCCTCAATCTCATGGATTTCCTCAATCTTATCAGACATTTTGGATAGAGGACAACAAGGAAACACCCTACGACAAAGAAGAAGACAAAGCAAAGGCGAATGTAAGTTATGGGCGTGTTTGCTTGTGTTGAGCATGCAAGAATTGGAAGAGACAAGTACGGCACCCAGGGAAGAATAGATGGAGTTGAATGAGCAGCACAGGCTAGGATGCTTGATTCTCCCATCTTCACTATGAAAGAAAAACCTTCACTGCCATGGAGAACCGGCAAATCAGGCGAGACGATTTCGCTGAGTCGTTAGATGCTCATATCGCATCGTCAGGCAACGAGCGTAACCGTTACGCCGAGCCCAAAGGCTCTTCTCCCGCAACAAACAATGTGTTCTGGTAGCATAAGAGAAAGACTACTTTCCTTCTCTCTGAGCAGCTATCACTACAGCATAGCATAGTAGCGTGCAATCCTTTATCATAAGCATTCAGTCCTATGAGCATCATCACAACTTCGGCTTGAACCCATCATACCAAACCAGACTCACATATCTTTCTTCAAGAGTAAGTTCGCAAAGTCTCTCAAACAACCCCTCAACCCTGCAAGGAACACTAATCAAACAAGCCCCAGACACAATGAACAAAACATCCACCGAGCTAGTCGCTCTCAAGTCCCCAATGACCAAACACGCCAGCCTGGTCTTCTTCCTCCATACAGCCGCCAAGATCATCATCCTCCTCGCCATCGTGGACGTACTCAGAGTGCTCATCCGTCAGGTGCAGGTCTACCTTGATCAGCACGCTCGCGAGCATAACGAGATCCACGGCCCGCAGAGAGTTCGACTTGTCCGTCGCCGTCACCGCTTCGACGATGATATTCTTGGATTTCCTTTCTAGGCTTCGCCCTAGGCTGGCTGTGGCTTGTTGCGTCGGCTAGGTAAGTTGGGTGCTATGTGCTATGGTTTGGGTAGAAGAGGTCTTTGCTAACTGTCTTGGGATAGTTTGATTGACTGACACTACTGGATTGTGGTCTTTCGGAGAGGATGGCTTCGTGATGTAGGGAGATGTTGCAGGTGGAGACGGGTATCAGCCGTTTAGGGAGTTTGGAGAACAATGTATCCCGCTGGTCTCTATCAGTTTAGAGATGAATGCAAGCATATCCACGGTCGAGGCAAGAATAACTTAATTGCTGTAGTGTGTCTACCTCGGGGAGGCGCAAGCCCCATTTGACGGCGGAGATAGTAGCCCTAAGTACGCCTACACCATGCCATCCGAGCCATCACCACAACATAATAGAATATGTGTATGTACAACCGAAGTGCTTTGATCGTGTCATCATGTCAGAAGTAAGAGAAACTGAGAAAGGCGACCCTATCGGAAGATCCGTCTTCCTCCAGCACTGCCCGCATTCCAGGTGACTGATCCCCTCACTCCCAAGTTGCCCATACTCAACCCCGAGAAACCGACACCACCGCCCTCGCCATCACGCTTGTACCGTCGTAATGCCTCGCGAAGATGAGAAGGGAGGAGCTGGCCCCGGTGAGGATTAGGCGGCGGTTTGAATTCCCTTTTCGGCCGTGCTGGAGGGGGTTGCTGTTCTTGCTGCTGCGGCTGCTGCGGAAGACCAGATATAGAAGGCGTGGACGGTTGCGACGCCTGCTGTTGCGGCATGGGAGATGACGTTGAAGGAGGGATTGGGGTTGAGCGATTGCTGTCCGAGTGCTCTTTCTTGACCGACGGCTGCGGCGGGCTCTGTGCCTGACCCCCGTCGCCGGCGTAGCAGAAGCCGCTGCCTTCGCCGCCGCTTCAGCTGCCCTGGCCTCGGCCTCGGCCTCTTCGGCGTCAAATGCAGCGCGCGCGGCCTGTTCATGCGCGATAGCCCACTCGGCCTGAACAGTCCTCGCCTTCTCAATGATCTCGCCCGCAAAGACCTTGGTAAACCCGTTGATGGTTGTCACGACACTGGCGGGGACAGACTGGGACAGCGCGTGGTTGACAATCCGCCGCAGCGTCTCCTTGCGCAGCTTGGCCCGTTTGAACAGATCGTATCGCTCCGACTGAATAGGATTGAACGCATCCACCAGTAAACTTTGTCCCGAGAATCCAACGTCAGCCTTGTGAAACACGCAGTGTCAGTGATAGGGAGAGGAACATACGCAAGATTCTTCTTCTCGGCCTCCGTATCCGTCACCCCTTCCTCACCCCTCAGGAGCTCACCCTCATCGTCAAAATCCTCATCCTCATCGCCGTCGTCCCCGGCCGCATCTCCCCTCGCCGTCCCACCAGCCCGAACAGACATCCCATCCGCATCCACAGACCCCAGTCGCGTCTCCCCGCGCAAACTCGCCGCATCCTCCCGCTGCTCGCGCTCCCGCTCCTTCTCGGCTTTACTCTTGCGCCCGCGTTTCCCTTTCTTGGCTGCCCCCAGGAACACCCCGTCCGCGCTCGTCCCGCCCAGACTACCCGTGAAACTGCCCGTCACACTCCCCGCGTCGCTAGTGGCACTGAATGTGCGCTGGTCATTGTCTATACTGGCGGGGAAGGAGGTCTGCCGGAGGGGATGCATGCGTGGGCGTTTCGGGTTGGAGCCGAGAGGTTGTGAGGCAGAGGAGGAGATGGAGGGCCGTTTGAGGGGATTTGTCGGCGCTGGGTGAGGTGGCGGTGATGACATTGTGAAGTGTGTTGTGTGATATAAAGAAAGAGTAGACAAAGGAGTCAAGTATGTGAGCCCTTGTAGGGACCTTTGGATGCCTGGTTGATGTTCGCCGGAGGTTACTTGTTGGTTGGTATCAGTCGGCCGTCTGGCTGGCTGTTCTGTTCCTGCTTCTTTCACAGACTTGACCGGAGTAAAACACAAGGAGAATAAGCGAATGTCTATAATTGTTGTAGTTAATTAGTAGTAATTCGCGGTCAAGCTTTGGCGCAGCGAGTCGATGAAAGTTGAACGTGCAGGCATGCTGGAGCTGGGATTCGATCCCAAGCAGACAGAAACTCCGGACCGATCTGGCAGGTCTGCCGATCCGTAATCGATGCCAGTTGGCGCAGGCCATCAAATCCACCAACACATTTCACTACGAGTCTACTCTTTTGAACTCGCATACATATTCTAGATAAAATATATTCGCATACGAATGAAAGAAAGGATGCATACGAATTATAATCAGATGTTCATTGCAAACGCTAGGCTAGCTCAATGCAAAATCATAACAGTAGGGACAGTACAAGGAGTCAATGAGCTTTGTACAGGAAACGAACGCTCTTGTTCTCGAAGAATTATCTGCAAGCTCAAATGAGGTGAGTAAAGGCTGTTCAGCGAATATTGGACAGAAGCAAAAAAATATGTAGGATGCAACTATTTCCATCTCAAAAGAACGTCCGATCAAGTTCTGCAGGAAATGATATCTCGACGTGCTATGGCTTGTTCTTCAAAACTTCTCATCTCCCAGCCGAGGGGCCCCCCTTTCCAGTCCAGGCGTTCATAGTAGCGGAACACAAGCTCATAGCCATCGAGGTCGTGGACAATCCGGTCCACCCGGCGATATCCCTCCACATGCTCCATTTTGGCGGTCCGACGAGCAGCCAGGTACTTGGCTTCCTTCCACTCGTCCTCGATCTGGCTCAGCGCTGGCTTGGCCTCAAAGAGAGTGACGCTGAAGCGGCCGGGCTTGAAGATGTCGACCACTTGCTTGATGATTCCAGCAGTAGTCTGGCCGTTCTGCGAGTGCGGCACGTTGGTCTCAAAGGACGCATACGAGCAATGAGGCTCTGGAGTGACGTGCACCGTGAAGTAGTGGGTTCCAGTCTTTCCCTCAGGAGGGGAATCACGCCGTTGGCGGAGAAGCCGCATGGTGTGAATAGGTAGGCATCGATGCGCGAATCGGGATACTTCTCCTTAGGATACACATCGGAAAGTCCACAGGCTTCAGAAACCACAGTTCCGAGCGCGTGGCCCTCGGTAGTCAATTCCGGAGGTAGAACCCGGCTTCCTTCGGAGTCCAGGTCGCTGATATCGGAGGACGTGTTGCTGAACACATCGACGTGGTCACTCTTCTCCGCATCGAAGTTGTGATAACGGGTCTCCGCAACGGCGGTGGCATGCTCGAGGTAGAACTGCTTAGCATTCTCCTCGTCCAGGTCGGTCATCAAGACTTCCAAAGTCTCATCCTCGGTATCAGCCTGCAGAGCAGCGCCCTGAGGTACGCTGAGGACCTTGGTCTCCGTTTCCGTAAATTCAGTCTTCGCTCCCGGGCTCGTTGGCGGGGTGAGCATGGTATGAGGTTCAGTCAGGTACAAGTACCAATGCTCGCCGTTCATCTTGCCAATCATGTAGGCGCTGCCGTTGAGAAAGAGCTTATCCATGGTCCGCACTTCGTCCCTCCAGCTGCGGTGAGGACCGCGCTGGCGGTCGGGGAAGAGGAAGTTCTTTCGGCTGTAGAACACGCGGTAGGGCGCGGCGGCGACGGAGATTCCGCGGGAAGGAGCGGTAGACTTGGGGAAGCCACCGAATAGAGCAGCAATCTCGAGAATGCGTGGCAGACCGGAGAGAAGAGTGGTGGTTCCGCAGGTTTTCAGGATGAGTTTGTGAGGCCAGACGAACATGCTGGACTCGGAGAGCAGGTAGGCGTCCACATCCTCCGACGAAACAATAGAGAGGACTTGACAATTGACGAGATCCAGCATGTCCTTCCAGATCTCCTCGGGCACAGCCTTCAGACCGGCAGGCTGCGCCGGACCTAATTCCTGAGCGGAAGGCGAGAACCACACCTCCAAGAGTTTCTCTGGACCTGTGGGCTGTCAGCCTCTACCCCATGCTGCTTTCAGACACGACGTCACCGCCGGCGTAGACATACCTTCAAAAGCATTGGTAGAATCAAGATCTTGCGTTGCCTGGTAATTGATCGTCAAGGACGGAGTTCCGGCAAAGGAAGACGGCGAAGCCGTGTAGTTCTTGGGGATGCCGATGTAGACCATTTCCGCTAATTGACGTAATGAATTGTGTGGCGTATACTGGCGCGAGACCGATTATTGGAACGAGGAGCAACGCAGTGGTGTATATGTAGTTGACCGTAGACACAGAAGCCTAGGAAGCACTATCTGCTGCCCAGACGAACAGGGGGGGCTATGTCCGCCTGAGAGAGAAGGCCCTTTATTGCGATAAAGAGAATGGCACACAGGCCAGATGGACGAAATTCAACACAAGCCCGAAGGGGATGCTAGGGAGGGCGAAAGGACAGGGAGAGGAGGAAAAAGCCTCTTGAAAAAGGAATTGTGACTATATGCCGAGCACCCTCGTACTGGAAGATGCCGATACCGGTCAAAGTATCGGGTCTAGCAGACGAGAGTATCTGCTTTTTTGGAAAGAAACGAGAAGATAATTGGGAACGTGGAAGGAAATGACTCTGGATGTGAGTCGTGTTATCGAGGCCTGGAGGAGCAATTGAGTCAGTACAGCTCACTGTGTGCCTGACGAGGGGGTCATGGCCACGATGCTATCGGTAGCGCCCAGCGCATGAAAATGGCACAGAAGGACAAAGGCTTACTTTGCTGGCTTAGACAAGAATCGCAGTAAGTCCTTTGGGTTCATGGAAGGCAAAGTCAAATCGAGCTCAAAATAGCACGACGTAGCGCGAGGCCACAGCTCTGGACATCTGCGAGAGCAAAGATACACTGCAAGATCCGAGAGCGGTCGCCTTTTAATGACTGTGAATTTAGAGGACGGCAAAGACAGAGAAATAGCAGCAATAAGACAAGTTTCTCACAAGGTCAGGGATATAGAATTGATAAATCTGTTTTCGTCCGGCAGAGTAGACAGCTGTTGGAGGTTGACGGAGGTTATTATTTATAGAGGACTGACTGTGGGCAGAGCGAAAAAGAGCGGGAGAACGAGAAGGAAGAAAAAAAAGTTGGTTCGTGGGGCGCAACTGACGCTAAGACTAACTACTCCGAAGATTGGGCTGGAAGGAAGAAGACCCCAGCCGTCAATCAAGGAAGCCTGAAACGTTAGATTGTTCCTTTGTGACCAAAGCGTGGACGTCTTGAATATATTGCGATTGATAGATTGATTTCTGCAGAGTGTACTCCTAGAATTCGTAGCTGGTCCTTTTGCAACTCGACGCCGGATTTTTCCTCCGTCCACATTGGGCAGCCAGAACAAATATTTGCCTGAGGCACCCCCACAGACTGTCGCGCGACACAAGGGTTCTATGCTGATTCTGGTAGGCGGTGGGCCAGTTGACGTGATGACGTCGCCAGTCTCCAGGCTGATCAACATATACCAGAGCTCCCTCTCTTCCTAGAGCTTTGCATGGATGATTCCTTGGGTCTTTGATCGATAATACAGAAGACAGAGCTGTAGACAATTACATTGCGCTCTGAATAATTTCCCTATTCTCACTTCAGAAGATCAAGCGAGGAATAACCACAGATGTTTCCCACTTCATACGCCACGAAACGCCAAAAGCCCCAATGAAATCCTTCCCGCCGCCAAGATGCAAGGCACAGGTGCAATATTAATGACTCAAAAGAAAAGAGATGGACAAGAGAGGAAAGGCAGAGATACAAAAGGAAGCCAAAGTTGGCAACCGGAAAAATGCCTCAAGCTTCGAGAATAGCATAGGCCATCTGCACCTCTCCCGCATCCGCGATCCTGCTTGCGACGATGTCCCCCACTTTGGCGTTTAGTCGCTCGCGGAGCTCGTTGGTCACAATGGCACCGTGCCCATTGGCCAGATTTTTACGGCCCTCCCGCAAGGTGGAGAGGACGGCCAACAGGGCGCCCAGCACCTTTTCGGCCTCCGGTCGTCGAGGGTTGTCTTCTGCCATGCCGTCCGCGAGAAGGCTTGCGTAAGTTGATAGATTGGGAACTATCAAGACTCGAACAGCTTCGGTGCCACCGACGGCATTCAAGCCAATGATAGCACCATAATGCGCTCCGAATGGTTTTGACGGATCAAGGAAAGTCTTGAGACAGGAGCGGGCGAGTCGAGGTGTAAGTGTATGCGATGAGTGAGAGTATTTCTTGGAGATGAGGCCGAGGAGAGAAGCGGCCAGGTCGCGCAGAGCAAACTGTTCTGACAAGTCTGCATTGCCGCCGAGCTGTCTGCCGATCAGGCAGGTCAGAATGGGAGGAACAAGGGATGCAATCTGGTCGGAATTAGCACAGTCCCACGAAAGACACATCAAAAAAGAGTAACCGTACATAAGGATCCACATAGAGCGATTTGTTCTGCACCAGGGCCTCTGCCATGTGCATGACCTGCGTCAGCACAAAAATATCCTTGAGTCCGTGCGTCACCTTTTCTGAGATGAACTGTACAAAGTACGGCACAAGCTGATGCAGCCCCGGATCCTCGCGCAGACTGGCATAGCCCGACGTCCGGTATTCTTCGCTTGACTCATCCAGGAAAGCGTTGCAGACTTTCTCAAAGTAGAGCTGAAGTTCCTTGGACAGCACATGTTTGACCAGCGGCTTGACGGCCACGTTCCCAGTGCCGCTCATCGCCGCCAACGTCGAGTTGGCATTGGGCCCCTTGGCGGTCAATTCGAGGTTTCTCGAGTCGGCAGCAGTAGGATTCTGCGGAATGGACGGCTGCACACCTTCAACGGCCAACCAATGAGCTGTACAGTAAAACCAGTTTAGTATACAACACATGACCTAAAATGACGGCTGTAGAAAACACCAACCAGTAAAAGAAATCTCCCTCGGCACCTTGGGCAACGGCGCATTAATCAATTTCTCAAAATCCACCTCCTCATCCTCGACGTAGAACAACGGCTGTCCGGGCCCAGCGACGCCTCCCCGAACCGCAACGGCCGTGTGGTCTCATATCCATACAGCGGCTCCACGTCCAGAACTCGCAGGGCCTGCGCAACATCCTGCGTGGTAAGCAGGGTCCGGCGACTGTGTCGCATGAATTTGAGAGCCTCTTCGAGGACCTGTGCGATGCGGTATTCGACGTCGCGCGCGAGGTTCTCTGTCACGTCGTTGCTGAGATTGACGATGCCGACCGACTCGGCCACGTCGCGGATGTTATCTGGGTTCCAAACTGACATGATGAAGCTTGTCGTCTTCGCTTTTTGACGGTTAGGGTGAGGTGCGAGCGAAGTCACGATCGTGAGGAGTAAGGTAAGGGTGGGTGACGAGGGACTCGATGAAATTATTGTATCGTGAGTTCGAAGGAAGTAAATCTGATTTATTGAGACAAGCGGGACGCTTCGAAAAGGACAAGCCGCATTCTGACAGTTCAAGGCAAGTTGGCTTGAGGTGATCGATGGTAGAGGAAGATGAGGGCTAGATCAACCCGAACAGCTCTTGCGAACACCGAAAGTGTTGCGGAGTGCGGAAGAAACTGCGGCTTTGGTATCTCCGGTCTCCCACACCAGCTACTGCTCCTCTCCATGTGATTGTGATCCAAAGATGAGAAAGACTTACGGCTATAGGCGCACAAAAGATCATCTAGAGTGGAGCTTCTATTATTACTACTATTATTAAGTATATATGATCTAGTTAAGATGTTTCTACTCCTTTCGCAAAAATGTAGCAATTCCGAGGTATCAAATGTGCGCACACAAAAACGAGAAAAAAGCAGTCTGCCTATCCTCCCGGGTATCATGCCTGTTTCTCCTGTTCCATTCCTTTTAATACGTCAAATCCAAGCGTGTGACGGCCTTATATCGCTCACTTAGCATCGGCAGCAGGTGCTTCCTTGGCCGTGACAGCAGGGTCAGTCTTTGGCTGCTCTGGAGCAGACTCAGCCTTGGATTCCTCCTGAGCGGCCTCCTCCTTGTTCTCCTTGGCCTGCTCCTTTGACTGCTCAGGGGCAGCCGGGGCAGCCTCTTCCTGAGTGAGGTTGACGGTTCTCGCTCCCTCTTGAAGAGCAGGGGCGCTGCCACCGTAGACCTTGGGGAACTGCTCCTTCAGAGAAGGGAACTCGCGAGCCAGATTGGCGCCGTTGGAGATGGGGTGGAATTTGCGAGTAGTATTCTTGCTCAGGAAGACCTTCATGGCGGCAAACATCCAGCCCATGATGGCAGGGACGTTGACGAAGAACTTCTCCCGGAGCAGCTCAGGGTAAGCTGTGGTGAAGACTTCAATGGTCTTCTTGGTCGCGGCTTTGATGGCAGGATTCAGGCGCAGGAAGCTCACGTTCAGATAGTCATGGACCTGGATCATCTGATAGGGGTCCTCGCCATCGTAGTCAATCACAGAGGTCGCCTCTACCATCTTCAGCTCCTTGACCGCCAGCTCCATAAGCGCAACACGCCACTTGACGAACCTACAAGCGTACAAGAACGGTTAGGATCCGCGGGACATGAGGATCTTTTCGGCAGATTTACTCACTCATCCATATCACCAAAAGTGGTGTTGATATCCTTGACACCACCGTAGATATTCCAGGTGACAACAGTCTCCGCACCATTAGCCTCCTTGTAGACGGTCAAATAACCCAGTCCGCCAAACTTGGTCGCGCTGTAGCTGGTCGACTCAGCGAGCGCCGAGGGGTTCATCTCCTTCCGCCACTTCAAGGCCTTGGTCAGCTGCTCCTCGGCCAGCTTGACATTGCCCTCGTTCGCGCGCAGGAACTTGATCAGAACGTTGACGGTGGGAGCATCATTCGAGTCCTTGAGCGGGACCCCCACATCTCCGCATGGCCGCTGCTGGAGACAATGGCAGGGAGACGCTCGAAGAACTGAGCGAGGGCAGGGTTTTTGGCAAGATAGGCTGGTTGTTCTGGCTGCTCAGCGACAGGCTTCTCCTCTTCGGCCTGGGGGGGTTGCTGCACTTCGGCGGGAGCCTTGTCGGCCTCAGCGGGAGTGTCTGGGGCGGCGGGTTGAGTGGCAGTGGTTTCAATGGCAGGCTGCGCGGTTGTGGTTTCGGTCTTGTCCTCTGGTTGTGGCTCCGTGGTCTCGGTCGTCTCCTTGGGGGTGTCAGGGCTGGTGACGGCAGGCTGCAAGTCTGCGACATCAGCGGCAGGAGCGGTAGTCTTGTCGGGCTGTTGGTCGGCCATGGTGAGTGTGAAAGAAATAGGAAGATCGGAAAATGGTAATGACTATTGACTGAACGTCTCGCTCAGAAGAGAGCCTTTGAGCTGATATACGGGAGAGAAGGACAGAGAAATCGGAAGATTGATGCAGGAAGACAAACAATAATCACATGCAGCGTCACGAGATGGTAAATATAGATGAGACAATTCCCTATCTACTCCCTAATCCCTTCTACATAATAATGTCTGCCTCGAAAGTCGAAACCTAAAAAAATGAAAGGATGCTTCCTCATCCCCTGAATTATTATTCAGTCCTCCCTGCTAGACTTTTTCTAGTACATCCACTTTGTAGGTTCTATTTTTACCAACAAAGTATAGCTATGGAGTATATTGACGTAGCGCACCCCTTTTCAACACAACAAACAAACACTCGGTCGAGCCAGCAATTGACAAGTCAACACCAGCATGTCAGGCATCATCTTTTGTTCTATCATTTTTTTGCTGATGAGAAAGATAGATGGATACATAGTTTGATCACCAGTCTCAAAAAAGGGTAATTGCGCAGAGTAACTCCGTAGGATTGATACAATCCTTCATTAAGCCCTTGGGTAATTGCGGTCCAACGATGTCTCGCAACTTAGTTTCTGAAGAAGATTGTCTGTCTACATTTTCGACCAAGAAATTTGGACTCAGAGACAATTCAATTGGCTCCACCTAGATAATCAAGGCAAGACATTACGGTTGTAGCAGGTAAAGACAATAATCATCCTCAGAAAAGGAGGATTTGCAGTCAATAGCCACGGAGTAGTCTAGATAGCACCTTATTATCCCTGACTTAATGACTCGAACTGGATTCACCAAAGAGCAGAGAGACTAAACAAGTGGCAATCCATTTCTTGAACCGAGTCCTATTTACCCTCAATACACATACAATTTCACATACTTATCGTCTATCCTGACTGAAAACCCGACAGGGACGGTGGGATTTCTTCATCGGAAAATGAAGAGAAAATGACCTGGGTGGGAGTTTCACTCCCAATTACCCCTGATACTCTTCACAACGCAGAAAAATGCAATCGCTGGGGAATATACACTGACAGAAATAAGACACAAACACTCATCGAAGGCGGGAATCCAAGGTCACAGATCGACATGATCTTATTGAGAACAGCGAATTGTGAACTTCTCTGGGATCATGGTCATCGTGGAGGGTTTGCTGAGCCATTGTCGTTGTCGTCACCATCATCTTCTTCCATCTCGTCTAGGTTTTCGGGATGCCTGAAAATAGCCAGAGTCAGTACGCGCCGACACCATCGGAAGAAGACGGCCACTCACGCTAGAAGTTCCTTGATATTCCTCATCTCATAATGCCTCTTGCGCATCTGCTCAAACTGGCGATGCTTCTCTCTGGCCTCTTCCGTCGTCATGAGATGATCCCCATCCGCACCGACATGGTTCTCCTCTCCTGTTCCGACTACAACATGTTTGTCGCTGCGGTGCGACTCGTTGCTCAGACTGCGCTCGCGGATGATCCGATTCCCCTCTCCGCTGCCCACTGCGTATGATGGCTCTTCGGGCTCTCCGAGTTCCAGGTCGGGAATATCATCCACGGAGGTCCCCTTCCGAGGTCCCTTCTTGGTCTTGTCCAGTTCATCAACCACCACATCCTGCGCGTCGATCAAGCTCTCCTCTGCTTCTGCGAGTCGCAGTTCCTCTTCGTCCTCGGCGGGATCATAGTGCGGAGCAAACGGTGTCTTGGGCTCGTCGATCTTCATCTTGGCTGATTTCTGCTGCTCGGTCAGGTACAGGTTCGCTTCGTCCCACTTCAAGCGCGGAGAGATCTCCTCGTCGTGGCCGCGGATGCTCGCCAAAGATTGTCGTCGAGAAGACGACCCAGGGCGCATATTGGATGACGACCGGCGCCGACCAGCGTTCTGAAGTGTGTTCTGCAGGGTAATTTCCTTCGTGTCGACGTTGTCCATACGTGCTGGATCGATGAAGAAATTCTCTGTCGAGTGAGCTGTCTGAGGGACGTTTCCGCTGGAGTTCTTGAGGATGCCTGATTGTAGCGGATTCTAGTCAAAAACCTCAACGTCATTTGAACCAAGCAAGTAGAACTTACCCTTGGGCCGCTTGGGCACATCCTCATGGTTATGCGCCATGGTCATCATTTGTGTAGGAATCACGTCGAGTTGAAGAAGAAAAGAGTAGCGGGGAAGACCAAAGAATAAGAATACAAGGGAACCTAAGGGCAGAAGTCTAGAGCGTGGTCGGGAAAAAGAAAGAAAAAGAAATGGAGACAAAAACAAGAAGTATGGACACTTTCCAAGTCAGACAACGATAGAGAGTGTCAGGTGCGATTTCAGCCCAAATCAACCAGCAGTCAGAGCTGAGTAACACCCGAACGGAATGATGCTGATGACAGTGGATGATTGTTATTTTGGGTTTCTAGCGGGGTCTTCTCAGCCTGCCGAGTGACCAGAGTCAAGCCTTAACAGTACGGAGTACACAGATGGTCAGTGCGAGACTTCGAGGCCTTTTGGTAACAGTCCGAATTCCTGCTCGCTTGAGTGTAGTACAGTAGAAGGATAAGTGAGACAGATAAGGAAATCGGCTGAAATTGTCGGTATATACGGATACTGGACAGAGTCAGGTAGACCACTCTACTACTAGGTACTAAGTGGGTGAAGCACGTGGGGGCAACCAAGCGGATGACGTCGACGGGCAAATGCATCAATGCACCACTCTCAAGAGGGTAATAATTCCAATTCATCAATGCTACATCGAGGTCGTATGCATCGCCTACTCTACGACTAGGTCGCAATATCCCGGCTATTGACATATTTGATGAACAAACCTTAACGAGTTCAGAGACTTCCGTATATTCGCCAATCATGCTCGTCTCTAGTACTAGGGTCCAGAAACAAAATGCCGCCAAACCTGGAAAGGTATATGTCTTCCAAATCCAATACACGGTGTTCAACTCCAAGCATTCAAGCCATGAGAAAGTTAGATGGTATAGTGCCAGGCGAGTATGCAGATCGCCACCCTCAAGACAAAGGCCGTGAGCGAAAAATACCAGGAAAAACGAGTAGAACCAAGTCCTCTTGCCCAAGCGTGCTAAACGAGTGTCCCAACCTGACATGCCAGAAGGATACAACTACAAGAAACAAATTCAGGCGGCCGAGATGCTCTAAGATCCCAGAAATGAAAGCGCAGAATCTGCACTAAAAATCAGCCAGAAGTAAAAGACCCGGTGTGGAAATGGTAAGATATTAGGCCCAGGGGATAAGAACAACCAGAGCGTGGTATCCAGAAAAAAAAAAAAAAAGAAAAAGAAAAAAAGTGGAAATGTAGCACATGTAAAGTGCCAAAAGATATAAAAGAAATGATAGCACCCGAGTTCAATCAAGAAACGACACGGGTATTGATGCGTAAATCAAGCGATGGAATCAAACTCCTCGCGTTCGCGAAGCCTGTTCCGCGCGAGTTGGTCGCCTCCGTTGGCTGACAGCTGCATCCAGTGCAGCGCCAGGCACATGCTCTGCGGATCGGACTTGCTGTCCTTGTCACGGCGGTACATCATCTCAGCCTTGAATGTATCTCTGGGAGAAGTAAGTGGCAGCGTGACACGGGGGAGAAGCTCTGGATGGGTCAAATAGAGTATCGCCAGCTCCCGCTGGGCGACAGGATTTCCTTCTTTTGCAGTAATAATCCACATCCCAGCAGCATCCTCAATGGCGTGGCTCGGTCTTGCGTTGAAGCCGAAGGGCTGAGGCACATGGCGTCGGCTCAGTTCCTGAGAGACAATCCGATCGGCAATCTCGACCATGCTGTTGCAGACCTCTTCCTTGAGACTTAACGCTGCCAAGCCAAATTGCAAAAATGCAGTTCCACTGTCGGACTTATTTAGGGTCTCGCTGGGAACGAATGCTGAAATAAATTGTAGGTCTCGGAAAAGAGTCTTAGGCTTCACTTCTAAGAGAAGGCTACGCAGTGCGTCCACAATTTGGTTCTCCGTAGGTGCGGAATATTCTGAAGGCCGAGAGTCAAAAGCGAGAGATTCGGCCGCTGGAGACGTCGGGGTTTGCAGGAAGTCCTTCTCAGCTCCACGGAGGGTTGGTGATTCTGAGAAGCTATACCGTGCAGCTCTTTTGCCATGGAGCCCGAGTTCCCTCGAGTGCGCATGTTCCTGATCGGCATGCGCATAGGGCTTGTCATCATTATCCACGTTCAAGGACGCAATGACCAATGCTCTCAAATCCCGCAATGCATTTAGCTTGACAAACGGGTTCCCGTGGCGCGAAAATATCTCGATCAATTGGCGGAAGACGAGCCCGTACGAAAATGGAGATTGATCTTCGGCCGCTCGAGCGCTCTCGGACATGGGCACTGAGGAGGTGTCATCCGACTCTTGAGCCCGTCCCGATATGGGAGGCCCCAGTGACCTGCTTCTTCGGCCCTTAGATTGGTTGCATCTTGTTATTTGGCGGACTGTGCGCGCATTGCACTCTGCATAGAAGCGCTGGATCTTCTCTCGCTTCTTCATTTGTACCCGGATTCGCTCTTGGTCCAAGGCGTTCCCAAACCAGGCGTCTGTCTCGCTTCCACAGCTCCAGACGGGTGAACCCAGATCACTCAAAAGTAGACTTGTCAGAGCCTGTTTTAATTCGTCCAGGAAAGCGGTTTTGCCTTGGCCCTTGCAATCCTTCTGGCGAGCCGGCTGAACAACAGCCTCACTGAGCATCGACGGCGGGCGGGAGTAGAAACTCGACGCACTTGCTGCATAGGGTGCATTCTGATGTGGTACAGACCAAAACGTACTGTATGTGTCACCCGTTGATACGGAGGTTGCCTTGGAAGGCGAGTCTCCGATCGAAAGTCCATCAGCAGTAGAGGGGTCTCGGTGGATCCTCCACTTATCGGAAATCGAGCTTTGAAAGGAGGATTTGCGATTCAGTGGTGGCAGGTCTTGAGTGTATCTGGAAAAGGTATCGGACGAGCGGAGACTGCCACCAGAGGACTGGGAAGCAAATGACAACTCTTCACCAGCAGTGCTCATTGGGCGCAAACTTGACGAGGAAAGGCCAAGGAAGCTTCGGTTACTGGTCCCTTCGAACTTGACGCGCTCCTTTTGGAACAATTCGCTGGCCCAGAGAACAGGGGCCTCGGCCATTGTATCACCGACGAGTCGGTTGACACTAACTTTGACCTCGTAACAGAAGCGGTGAATACGTTCTTCGCCCTTGCAAAAATTGTCGATATTGTTCTGTGCCAGCCATTTCCGAGTCAACTCGACCTGCTCATCAGAGAGTTTATTCGGGCCGCCTTGGCTGCTGGGTGCTTTCATGACATTCATCACTTGCAACTCTGGCTTTTGCAGAACGGATCCTCCCGATGCACGGGGGCTGCTGCGCGTTCGACGCTCGTTGGTAGAGCTTGGTTGATAAAGGCGAGCGGAGTAGACCATCGTCTTCAGTGCCAATGCCACATTCCTTGCGTCCTCGTACCGCATCGAGTTCTTGACGTCGGTCATGTACCACATCTTGTTTCGCAACTTCGTAATGGTTTTGATCGTCTCCTTCACAGTTCCCTGCAGTTGCCACAAACTGCGATCCAGTGCCACAAAGTCGGTTTCGCAGCGCTCGATCACGGAGTGAGCTACCCGGAGCGAGCGTGAGCACGACGTGTGCATAGGTTCCAGAATCCATGAGTCATCACCAAGGCGAGAGGGCACGTCGGCGACACTGCGACGAAGCTGACGACTAGCGTTCCACCAATAGTGGGCACCCATAAAATCAGAAGTATGGTGGCAGTGTGACATGGCCTGGTTGAATCTTTTCTTCAGCGAAGAGGATTGTGAAGGGGCCATTTGGTCGCGCTTCCCGCAGTAGTCTGAGCGATCTCCAGTAGGGTTCTGCCGGACGAGCTTGATGATCGCTGTGTGGAGAGCCTCGAAGTTGTCCTCCATGCCCAGAGTGGTGGACGGACAGGTATCAGCGGACAAGTTCCCAGCATCGCTGAGCTGGCCATCGGAGAATAGACCCCAGACTAGGCGATGACCGCCGTCGGTGACAGAGAAGATAGCCCATTCTTCCGTGGAGGGGTACTCGAGACCGGGACGACCATCAGGCTCGACCAAAGCAGACAATTCAAAGCGGATACGGTCAGCGTTGCGACTCAGGCGATCTTCTGAGCAAGAAAAGAAGTCCATGTCTGCGGAGGAGAATGCCTTTGAGGAAAACTGCGGAGAAGAGCCACCATTCAGATTACGCCGGTAGAACCCTGGCTCTGGGACGGTGGTGGTACGTCTATCAGGGAACGACTGCAAGGAGCTGGGAGACAACGCAGATGATGCGGAGGAGGGAGTGGGAGAGCTACATGCGGGAGATGTCGCCGTGGGAAACAGGGCGCCCAGTAGGGTTAACACATCTGTAGCAGATAGCATGAGAAAAGCGCACGGTGATTCCTGATGACTTCTGGGTTCTGAGCGCTGCGCAAATTGCATGTTGTCATTGTCCGTTGTCTCGAACCGATGAAGCATGTTCTCAACATGTTGCCGGACCGCAGGACGAGTCATTGAAAAGTGATGCCTGTCGCAGAAGATCAATGGGTTAAGACAATTCTCTCTCACTCATCAGAACGTTCAAGAAATGGCAGGACTTACATTGAGCGTAGAATAGCAAAGACCTGCGAATACGCCCTAAGGGCAACCTGTCCAAGAAGCTTTTCTCTGGCGTCTTTTCTGATGTGAAAATCGAGAAGAAGGCCGAGGGTCTAAAAGAAAGAGGAGATCAGTTTTCTCCGAGTCCAAGAATCATAACGTCAAAAGACGGACTGGAACAGACCTCGGGATAAGCAAGAGCCCCAGAGAGAAATTTAGGGAAGAACCACTGGAGGAGCAAATACTCTAGAAAACGGGTACGACTGTCGGGGTGACCCAGTTTCTGCAAAATGGCGCGAGCAAACATGAACACTGCATGAGGGAAGCCTGCGTCTGGGTCATCAAGGAGTTTGAATAGGGCATCTACAGCAGAGGCGAAATATTCCTCAGCAACGTCAGTTTTCAACGGGTCAAGGGACCCCGCATCAAAGCCCAGTCCGGCTGGGGTTTCAATATGTTCCAGGAGGAACGCGCCAGTCTGGAGGATGTCCATGAGGTAGAGCTCGAACTTTGGTCTGGCTTTCCAGGCGCTGCCCATGGTCCAGGATGAGAGGATGTGGCCAATGAGGGGATAGAACCTATTGCCTCCTTGGGTGACAAGTTCAGCGCAAACAGAAGACCAAACGTCCAAACGCAAGCGAGCCTCGGGGTATCAGAGTCCACGGGA